GGCTGTAGTCTTTGATCTTCATCAGTAAGTGCTTCAAGTCCTCTTCACTTTCAGCAAGCAAGGTTGTGTCATCTGCATAATGCAGGTTGTTAATGAGTCTTCCTCCAATCCTGATGCCCTATTCTTCTTCCTATAGTCCAGCTTCTCAGATTATTTGCTCAGCAGACAATAGGTATGGTGAAAGGATACAACCCTGATGCACACCTTTCCTGATTTTAAACCACGAAGTATCCCTTTGTTCTGCTTGAACAACTGCCTCTTGGTCTACGTACAGGTTCCACAAGAGCTAAGTTAAGTGTTCTGGAATTCCTGTCCTTCGCAATGATATCTATAATTTTTTATGATCCATACAGTCAAATGCCCTTGCATAGTCAATAAAACACAGGTAAACATCTTTCTAGTGTTCTTTGCTTTTAGCCAAGAGCCGTCTGACATCAGCAATGATATCTCTTGTTCCATGTCCTTTTCTGAACACCACTTGAATTTCTGGCAGTTCCCTGTTGCTGTACTGCTGCAACTGTTTTTGAATTATCTTCAGCAAAATTTTGCTTGTGTGTGATATTAATGATATTGTTTGATAATTCTGCATTCAGTTGGATCATCTCTCTTTGGAATGGGCACAAATATGGATCTCTTCCAGTTGGTTGGCTAGGTAGCTATCTTCCAAATTTCTTGGCATAGAAGAGTGAGCACTTCCAGCGTTGTATCTGTTTGTTGAAACATCTCAATTGATATTCCATCAATTTCCTGGATTTTTATTTTTTGCCAATGCCTTTAGTGCAGCTTGGATGTCTTCTTTCAATACCATCAGTTCTTGATCATATGCTACCTCCTGAAGTGGTTGAACGTCGACCAATTCTTTTTGGTACAGTGACTCTGAGTATTCCTTCCATTTTCTTTTGATGCTTCCTGAGTCGTTCAATGTTTTGCCCATAGAATCCTTCAATATGACAGCTCGAGGCTTAAATTTTTGTTCAGTTCTTTTAGCTTGAGAAATACCAAGCGTGTTCTTCCCTTTTGGTTTTCTAACTGCAGATCTTTGAACGTTTCATTATAATATTTTACTTTGTCTTCTTGCGCCGCCCTTTGGAATCTTCTGTTCATCTCTTTTACCATCATTTCTTCCATTAGCTTTAGCTACTCTAAAAAAATTAGATTGCAACAAATTTCTTGATTAGCATATTTTTCTGCTGATTGGGAAAGACTGTTGTTATTTGATTTATCAGTGGAACACCCTGATTCAGCAATCAGAATAATCATAGTGGTCATTATTTATTGCACATTTACTATGTCCTTCATGACACAGTAACAAGCCCTTTGCAAATATTATAGCATTTAAAATGGTTGTAAAAAAACCAGTAAGATTGTTATCTCTATTTTATAGTTTTAGATCTAATGAACAAGAAGGGTAAGTGACTTACCCTAGAGGACACAGATAGTCAGATATAGAGCTAAGTCTGGTTGATTCCAAAGCCTGTTATTCCACTTGCAGTGAGCAATGGACAATGAGCCATGCTCTTCACTATTACTCTTTACAGGCTCAGAGATCCCTGAGACCCTGAAAACCTAATCTGAGAGACGTTGGCACACTAAAGCTCATGCTAACAAGCCAAGAGCATGGTAGGGATCCAGTACAGAACTTTAGCAAAGTACTAGAACTCTGGAGGGTCTAAAAGTGAGGAAATGAGCAATCAGAGTATCCTAAAGACCCAGTGGTCTTTTCCTTGTGCTTGACTATTGTAAACAACTTTTGATACAGTCATATCAAATGTAAATCATCATTATGTACTGACCAAAGAAGAATATGAATTCCATTTATCTTAATCCCTGTGGGCTCCCTTGAGAGAACAATGGTCGATTACAAAAAATATGTATCAGTTTGGTAGATTGGCCCAAAGGGGTTGAGAATTACTGAGATTCTCCACTAAAGAAAAACCTTATAGAACTGTGTGTGTGTGATAATAGCTGCATTATGGAGCACTTCCTGTGTCCTAAACACCTTATCAATATCGCGTTTAGTCTACCAACATCCTTATCAGATGAGTAACATTATTATCCCTATTTGAGGAATCTGCCACTCAGAAAGGGAAGGGAACTCATGCAAGACCCCACACCTAGTCGGCAGCCTAGCCAAGGATGCAAACCCCCTCTCTCTGACTTCTCTATACATCCCACATGCTGTGTTGGAACACCACGTTGGAGAATGACAACTCCCTGGAATTGCAGGAAGCACCACTGTTTCAGTTTGTGTGGCAAAGATCTTAACACACTCATAATTTCTCTTATCTCTCATAATCAATTACCCTATCATCCTCCCTGGAACAGAATGGAATTCACGAAACACCTACTAAATGCTTTACATAATTTATAACACTTAAACTGCCCATCAGCCTCATGAAGAAAGTATTAATATCATCAACATCTTTCAGGCAAGGAAATCAAGTCTTGAAAGGATTAATGTGTCTAAACTTTTACAGTGAGATTTGGACCCAGGTCTGCTAACTTCAAAGCCTGAGCATTTAGCCATTATATTGCTCTGCCCATCTAGAGTGAGCAGTGGTTATTCTTTCCAATTTACATACTGGTGACCTAGAGACGTGGTTATTATTAACTGCTGTCATTTGACCCCCAACACAGCGACCCCATACACAATGGAACAAAATGTTGCCCGATTTTGCACCATTCTTGTCATCGGTTGGGGATCAGACCATTGTGATCCTTACGGTTTTTTATTGGCTGATTTTTGGAAGGTGCCCTAGTAGCGCAGCTCGGCTGCTAACTGAAAGGTCGACAGTTCAAACCCACCAGCTGCTCCAAGGAAGAAAGATGTGGCAGTCTGCTCTGTAAAGATTAATAGCCTTGGAAACCTTATGGGGCAGTTCTACTCTATCCTATAGGGTCACTATGAGTCAGAATCGATTCCACAGCAGTGGGTTTGGGTTTTGTTTTGTTTTTTGGAAGCAGATCACCAGGCCTTTCTTCTTACTCTGTCTTAGTCTGGAAGCTCTGCTGAAACCTGTTTAGCATCATAGCAACGTGCAAGCCTTCACTGACAGATGGGTGGTGGCTGCATATAAGGCGCATTGGCCAGGAGTTGAACCTGGGTCTCCCACATGGAAGGCAAGAATTCCTACCACTGAAACACCACTGGGTGCCTACAAGCTGGATAACAGGACTGCCAAGCCTGGCTTACCAGCCAGTTTCTGAGGCACTGAATGCCACTCCCCATTAAACCTAATTATTCAATACTTAGGTCTTTAAACTTTTTATTAGCTCATTATTCACTAATTTCTTTTGCTGAGTCAAGTCCTTTAAGCTAATTGCATTGTCTCTCAACTAGGGGACAGCTAAGGAAGTGGAAGAAGTCAATATTACTAACGTCATCAACAGCTCTATCTCCAGCTTTAAACGGAAGATTAGCTTTGCCAGCGTTGAAATCTCCAGTGATAATGTCAACTATAGTGACCTGACAATGAAAACCAGTGACAAGATCAAGTTTGTCTTCAGAGATAAAATGGGCAGGATCATTGACTATTTCACAATTCAAAACCCCAGCAATGTCGATCGGTATTCCAAGCTACTGTTTCCTTTGATTTTTATGCTGGCCAATGTATTTTATTGGGCACACTACCTGTATTTTTGAGACTCCAACCTTGAATTTTTTGCATGCCACTGGTCTTCAACAGAGTAAGGTAATGATGTTAATGTTATTCTAATCCAAATATACACCCTAACCCAACAGTGCTGCAAGTGACTAAAATAATATTTGAGTATTTCTCTGAAAAGAATGGACCCCGAACCATTATTCTAAGCTATGTAGAAGTCCTAGCATTACAGGGTCTTGAGATAGACACATCAGCCCATTCTTCTTTTAACTTTATAAAGGACATTCCCACAGAGCCCAAGACTACAAACCCACTCAGGGCTGACTATGTGGTCAGTGGCTCTCTCGTCTGCATTTGTTGTTCTTGTTAGTTGCTGTGGGGTTGATTCCAGCTCATAGTGACCCCGTGTATGCAGAGTAGAAGTACACTCCATAGAGTTTTCAAGGCTGTGACCTTTTGGAAGCAGATTGCCAGGCCTTTTCCCAAGGCATCTCTGCCTGGATTTGAACTGCTAACCTTTCGGCTGGTAATCAAGAGCTTAACCAGTTGTGCCACCCAGGGATTTCAGTCTGCATTTACCTCTTACATAAAAAATGGGAAGGAGACATGTATTAGGAAACCCTCAAGTGTCAGAGGTTGTTTGTAACCCTCAGGTGTCAGGGGTTGTTTCTAAATTGATAATACATGGTACTTACTAATTTTCTTCAGTGCTTATAAAATGCACTGTTGTCTGTTTAGAGAGTAACATCGCCGAGTTCTTGTTCTTTTTTATTGAAGTGTGGGCCTATGTCAGTTCACTGGAAGTCACTACACAGTTACTAATAACTCAACACCAAGATTTAATACTGCAGCAGAATTGTCCCCAAATCCTAAAAAGTCCTGCCACTGAGAAAACAAATGTAAATGAACAAAAATTTAGTGGATCAGTAATCTCAGTGGCGTCACTAGGGTGGGTGCAGGGGGTGTGGACTGCACCGAGTGACATCGTCAGAGGGGGTGACACCAAAATGACTGTCTATAAAATTTTTGTGCAGTGTTTCAGCAGAAATTTGTTGTTGTTTGTAAAAATACCCCCATAGTTATAACAACAAAAACATTTTTCATAAGCCCAGCTTACATGTATCAATATACCTACCTACAAGGCTAAAACTCTATGCTAATTTACTTTTTGAACCTTCTAACACCTTCAGGTCAGAGCTGTCACTATTACCCAATTACAATGATTTTTTGAATCACTTTTTCTTTGCTGCTGGTGTTTTTACAGTCACTGATTTTGTCAAATTTTCTGGTGTTCTAGCTACAATATTGTAGTAATTAGTATTGTGAACCTATATCAATAACTTTTTTGAGAATGAAGTAGTAATTAAAGGAAAAGGAAAAAATCAAAGAAGGCTTCCACTCTATTACTAACAATGTTGTAACTAATAATGTGGTAATTCAATGTAGAAAGATTTTACAAAACAATTCTTGTTAGTATTCATATAATCTAAGAAATATTATATTTAAGCAATTTACAACTATATTTATCACATATTAATTTTACAATTAAAATTGATAATAAACTTACATGTATATCCAGGGGGAGGATGATACCATGAGTTACCGTACTGGGTAACACCAATTCTAGTGACACCACTGAGTAATAGCAAACATAAATCTCTTGCTCCCAAGATATAATGGATTCCCCAAACTAGAAGGACTCTGGCACTTTATTTCACCACTAAACAAACCAAAAACCAAACCCACTGCCATTGAGTCAATCTTGACTCATAGTGACCCTATAGGACAGAGTAGAACTGCCCCATACGGTTTCCAAGGCTGTAAAGCAGACTGCCACATCTTTCACCCGTGGAGCAGCCAGTGGGTTTGAACCGCTGACCTTTCAGTTAACAGTTGAGTGCTTTAACCACAAGCCACCAGAGCTCCTTATTCCCCCACTAGATATGTCTTATCATTTTACTATTATAAAAATACCAGTCCTAAACAATGCCAAAGCCCTTTCCCTGCATCGGGGATGCAAACCCAAGAAAATTTTTGTGTGTGTGTGCAATTTTTATTTTATTTTTTATTGTGCTTTAGATGAAGGTTTACAGAGCAAATTAGTTTCTCATTAAGCAATTAATTCACATATCGTTTTATGATATTTGTTGCCAACACCATGACATGACAACACCCTTTCCGTCTCGATCTTGGGTTCCCCATTACCAGCTTTCCTGCCCCCTCCTACCTTCTTGTCCTTGCCCTTGGGCTGGTGTGCCCATTTAGGCTCATTTTGTTTTATGGTGCTGTCTAATCTTTGGCTGAAATGTGAACCTCAGGAGTGACTTCGGTACGGAGTTAAAAGGGTGTCCGGGGACCATACTCTCGGGGTTTCTCGAGTCTCTGTCAGACCAGTTTAAGTCTGGTTTTTTTTTGTCAGTTAGAATTTTGTTCTACATTTTTCGCCACCTCTCTGGGAGCCTCTATTTGTGATCCCTGTCAGAGCAGTCAGTGGTGGTAGCCGAGCACCATCTCGTGCTAGACTCAGTCTGGTGGAGGCTGTAGTAGTTGTGGTCCATTAGTCCTTTGGACTAACCTTTCTCTTGTGTCTTTGGTTTTCTTCACTCTCCCTTGCTCTAGATGGGATGGGACCAGTGGAGTATCTTAGATGGCTGGTCACAAGCTTTAAAGACCTCAGACGCTATTCACTGAAGTCGGATGTAGAACATTTTCCTTATAAACTATGTTATGCCAATTGAGCTAGATGTTGCCCGAGACCATGGTCCCTAGCCCTTAGCCCAGTAATTCGGTCCCTCAAGGAGTTTGGATGTGTCTATGAAGCTTCCATGACCTTGCCTTGGTCAAGTTGTGCTGACTTTCCCAGTATTGTGTACTGTGTTACCCTTCACCAAAGTTACCACTTGTCTATTGTCTAGTAAGTGTTTTTCCCTCCCCACCCTAGTAACAATCAATGATTGTTCTTTCTGTGTGTAAACCTTTTCATGAGTTTTTATGATAGTGGTCTCATACAGTATTTGTCCTTTTGTGATTGACTTATTTCCCTCAGCAATAATGCCTTCCAGATTCATCCATGTTGTGAGATGTTTTCCAGATTCATCATTGTTCTTTATTGTTGCATAGTATTCCATTGTGTGTATGTACCATAGTTTGTTTATCCATTCATCTGTTGATGGGCACTTGGGTTGTTTCCATCTTTTTGCTATTGTGAATAATACTGCAATGAACATTGGTGTACATATGTCTATTCATGTGACAGCTCTTATATCTCTAGGATATATTCCTAGGAGTGGGATTGGTGAATCGTATGGTATTTCTATCTCTCACTTTTTAGAGAAGCACCATATCGTTTTCCAAAGTGGTTGTACCATTTTACATTCCCACCAGCAGTGCATAAGAGTTCCAATCTCCCCACTGCCTCTCCAATGTTTGTTATTTTCTGTTTTTTTGATTTGTGCCAGTAATGTTGGGGTGAGATGGTATCTCATTGTAGTTTTGATTTTCATTTCTCTAATGGCTAGTGATCTCCAGCATTTCCTCATGTGTCTGTTAGTTTCCTGAATGTCTTCTTTGGTGAAGTGTCTGTTCATATCTTTTGTCCATTTTTTAACTGGATTGTCTTTTTGTTGTAGAGGTGTTGGATTTTCCTATAGATTTTAGAGATTAGACCTTTGTCGGATTTGTCATAGCCAAAATTTTTTTCCTAGTCTGTAGGTCCTCTTTTCACTCTTTTGATGAAGTCTTTTGATGAGCATAAGTGTTTAATTTTTAGAAGATTCCAGTTATCTAGCTTATCTTCTGGTGTTTGTGTATTGTTGACTATAGTTTGTATCCTGTTAATGCCATGTATTAGAGCCTCTAGTGTTGACCTTATTTTTTTTTTTCTACGATCTTTATAGTTTTTGTTTTGTATTCAGGTCTTTGATCCATTTTGAATTAGTTTTTGTGTAAGGTGTGAGGTACGGGTCTTGTTTCATTTTTTTACAGATGGACATCCAGTTTTGCCAGTACCATTTGTTAAAAAGACTGTCTTTTCCCCATTTGATGGACTTTGGGCCTTTGTCAAAGATCAGGTGACTGTAGGTGGATGGATTTACGTTTGGGTTCTCAATTCTGTTCCATTGGGCAATGTGTCTGTCGTACCAGTTCTAGGCTGTTCTGACTACCATAGCTATATAGTAGGTCCTGAGGTCAGGTAGTGCATGTCCTCCTACTTTATTCTTCTTCTTCAATGGTGATTTACTTATCCAGGGCCTCTTTCCTTTCCATATAAAGTTAATGATCAGTTTTTCCATCAGAAGAGAAATTTTTTTTTTACTGATTCTGGGAATCTTAATATGGACTGTTGCCATGAAGACTCACAGAACTGAATCCATTTTCCAGCTGCCTTTACTCACATCCTGGTAAGGTGCTAAACACTATGCTGACACATTCAGAGATTCAGAGAGTCCCCTGTCGTTTCTACTACACTGACCCTGAGTAACTCTCTTCCCCAGCAGCAGATCCCCTGCATCCTTCCAAGAGGAGCTCCTGTCCCTGCACTCTAATGACCAGGAATGATGCTTGTTAGACAACCAGCTGCAATGCCCAGGAACAAATGGCTTAGCTCAGTAAACTTGGCTTTGCTCTGATCCCACCCGTCTAGCTGGACTCCTTTGAGTGGCTCATCATTGCATGTGCAGGAGGATGTTGGTCCTGAGTTCTGAACTTTCTGAGTAACAATGGGACATGTTACAGAACCTACTTTCAGGCTGCAAATAAGGCATCTTCTCCAAGGCCAGCCACTGTGACCTTAACATAAGAAGCAGCAGTGTACATCTTCCCCTGCTTCTTGGCCAAGCTCAGCTAACAGCTCCATAACTAGATCTTTGCAGGTGTGCCAGAATAAAGGCTTCCGGTTCAGCCTCTATGGTTTTAAAGAACCTTGCCATCTCTAATTCTTTAACTTCCTTTTCTAATAAATACATGCCTTTACCCCTCCTTTCAGGTAAACCATGGCTTCAAAAGATTATTTCTATTTCAACACGCCAAGAAAATGGTACAGATCCAACGCAGAAGAGTTGTTAGTAACCCCCT